TATGCTGTATTTTTTTCATCTTCTTCCACACAGGCTATAACTTAAAGGAGAGTGAGAGTCCATGAAGTGGATGGAGACATTTGTTGTGTGATTTGGAAGGTGAGCGCTTGGATTAGGAGGTTTCAGGACCTGGAAAGACGAACAAAGTTAAAATGCCATCCTAGAGGAGCAGATGCGCTCTCTTTTTCTGCCAATATATCCTGAGATTCAGTTGCTCACCAGCGTAAATACTCAGTTGGCTGTTCTCTAATTCCTCAGTCCCTGGGTATCCAGCTTAATACTTGTGGCCACTAGTGAATATAGTGGCTGTGCTTTAAGCAGATACAGGTCTATGTGAAGTAAGCTGAAAAATCAGGCATTATATACCTCAAACTGCATGCCCAAAATTAGCCAGACAATTCAATAATTTTGGCCCTACTGTCATCTCTCATGTCTCAGCTATAATATTGGAATAAATAAAAGCTCGAACTCTCCCAAACTTGAAAGTTAGTAAAGCACTGCAATGAGACCATTATGGAAACTTCCAAGAGAGTTTAATTCATTACAAGGTGTGGATATAGTTTGCTAGATATTGCATGAATGCACAGAATCAGTGAGGAGGGTGAAAATAAATAACAAATAATTACTTTCTGAGAAGGACAGAGGTGAAACAAATGAAACATCATCACACGATCAAATGCATAAAGGGACTAAACTAATCTGCCCAGAAACCAGTCAGCATTTCTTAAATTTTGGATGCTTTTCTTTCCCACCATTATGTTCCACTGCTGTTATTGCGTAAGGTTATTTCCCAACAAGGAAATAAAAGCCCTGACTGTATCTAAAATTTTACTGTTCCTTGAATTCTCGCTTCAAGTGATCAATAATGTTCAGCTTCACAAACAGGTCTCTGCCACAGAGGTGCTGCCAAGGGAAAATTAACCGGTTCTGGGGACTGCAGCAAAAGAGCTGGTGAGGACAGTTTCCTACCTGGTCTCCTCCATTTCTCCCCCCATTCAGACAGAGGTGTTTTGGTCCCAGCTTAAGGAAGATAAACAAGCCATATACAAATGATGGAGAAAGAGAAAGGAAATAGTGCAGAAATTCCTGTTTGGTTTTGTTTTGTTTTTTTAAATAGGCACTTATATCCTTGCAGGACTGCTTTAACTACAGCCTCATTTTCAGCCATTTGAGCTCAATGATTCTTAGCAGTTGCAGGCTGTCCCCGTGCCTGTGGACCAACTGCTACAGGGGAACTTGATGCTCTTTGTCAGTAAATTTCAAAATCTTTGCTGAAGTGCAGAAACATACAGGCCAAAAAGATACTCTCGTTCTGTTCCATGTTCTTACAGTTATAAATGTCTGTGCTCATAACCTGCTCCAGTCCTTCCAAATATCAAATTCTTTCCCCAATCCAGTGGGTTCTCGATAAAGCATCTCAGTAAAATAGTTGTATGAATTAAACACTGCTAAAACAAAATATTTTTCTCAGACTTGTACAAAAACAGCCAAAACATCTTTGCTAAACTTTCTCCCAAAAGTCTGCTCAGGAAGACAATTATGTGGAAAGGTTTGAGACCCAATGGTAACAATTTGGCAGAGTAAAAGAAAGCAAAACCAGAGTATATATTACAACAGAAAATGATAAGTTTAACATGAGGCACAGTCATCACAACTTGTAAAAGTGCAAGCAGATTTGTAACTCAAAATGAACTTCTACACGTCTTATTTTTCAGTTTGTTCTCTAACGGCTCTCTGTGGGAAACTCCACTTTTACCAAAAAAAAAAAAGAGGAAACATTTCAGAGGATCAGTATTGTCCTCTACACTAACAGCAACACTGCCCAGGTTTTGTTAGTTATCCAGAACAGTCACTTTATAAGTCAGCTTTAACTACTAAATTCTTTCTTCTCCAACAATTCTATTTTAAAAATATTTTCAGTGCACCAGAATTTCAGACTAAGGGAAACATAAAGCAAATATAGGCCATGTAACACGTACATTATTGCAGAATGAGCAACAGAAAATCCAATATTTCATCCTTCACGGGAGACTATGTATTGTTCACTTGGCAATAAAGTGTATAAATTACACTTTGATTTTCTTGTTTCACTTCTCTTTAGCGTGCCTGGTGTGCTGATGTGTCAAGAGAATTTGCCTTTTTGAAGTTTTGCTGACAGCGTTACAGAACCATTTTCTCTGGAGCACCCTTCTGAAACTTGTTTTTTGAAACCCTTTTTATACTATACCAATTTTGCTACCTCTGCAAAAAATATTACTCGCCTGAGGGTTTTTCTTCTTCTTTCAGTCATGCTGCCAGGGGGCTGATTGTTTCTGATTGCTGAAGTCAAAACTCTCTGAAAATGGACTATTCAAGCTGAAGAGCATTTCACATGAGCACGGCAGGTTTTCCAGTCACCTTACTTGTCTATATTATTTAGTAACACAGTTACTATGTGATGGAGATTATAAAATCATTTGAGCTGGCTGCATTGACAGCCTGGGCAGAAAAATAATTCTGTTGCTTGAGATTCTGGAATGCCAATCATAGACTAAAGCATTTGACCACTTAGTGAAGAGTGTAGCGTAAATGAAACAAATGGATATATAGATGGCATACATAGATAGGTCTCTAAAGCCAAGGTATCAGTGCCAGAATTTCTCACATGAGTCATTTAACCAAATTTTCTTGTTTTCACTACGCAACTGGAAAAAAGATTCTATGTTAAACTTGATGGGAAGACTGTTAGAAATCCTTTGTGCATTTACAACATAAAATTATATCCATTAGACATCAAAACGTCCACTGCATCATTTGTACCATTTTCTCTCCTGTTAAGAATTGCTCCTACATTGCATTATCTATTGTTTCACTGCCTCGGGCAAGAGGGCTTAATCCATTTCCCTGCTACAGCCTGAAATGTGCATGTATGGTATAACACGCTGAGGTCCCTGAAATTAAGACAGCATTACTGATCTGAATGAATTCAAGATGATGAGTAAAGTATGCCATTGACTTCCAATTATACTTTTACTTTCTTTTACCATTTATCAGAGCCTCAGCACATGAGTGTTCCCCCTCCTCCCCCCGCTTTTTTTTTTTTTAAATATGGTAGTTCTGATTTATTTGTTTAACCTTACAAAAACTTGGGGACTTTCAACCAGAGCAGCTGGCTGCTATCTGCTAGCAACTGATATATTTGATAAATTATTCCTTGTATTTAGAGGGTAATGATGTTCCTGGGCTAGGCATGGTGTGGGCTGCATGATGTGAGGCTGGAAAAGGAAGGGGTAAAGGCAACCTTTTCCTGTACCAGCACTGAGCCACTGCTGCAGCCAACACCTGGGACTGCCTGAGCAAGCTGATTTTGAGATTCCTTGTGCAGACATTCATCCAAGTGTGAGTCAAAATCTGAAAGAACTGTAGAAAACCAGAGCTAGAAGAGACTGCAGAAAACTATGCAGTCAACCCCTCTTGCCTAACCAAGGGTTACTGGAGGTGTGTCATTACTGACACAGTCATTTCTAGCCTATTCTTATAAACCTTTGAAGATGGAGGTGCCAGACATTCCCCAGGCAATCTTTTCCAGAGCTTCACTATTCCCGGTATTGAGAAGTCTAACCTCATTCAGCACTGCTGTGATTAACCCATTATTGCTTTTCCTAGCCATCCATAATATAGAGAGAATAGCTCATTCCATTCTTCCTTGTGATGGGTTTTTACATACTCATAGACACTTCACATTTTCACTTATATGTCCCTCCTTCCAACTAAACAACCCAAATCTTTCAGTTCTTCCCTTAAGCCAGAGACCTCTCATCATTTTCCTGTTTTACTACTGGATCCTATCCTGAAAGGAAATATACTCAAAAAATCTTTACTACACTTGAAAAACTATAATATATGGTTTCTGATAGGAAAGGTTGAAGTGATTACAAGTTCCATGATAGAATGTTTAACTGGCACAACAAAAACTCCAAAGTAAAATACCCTGAAAAAAGTTCGTAAACACTAACCTAGCAACAATGGGTGTCAGCCTCATTCAGCAAGGTATCTTAGTCATTTCACAGTTGAAGTAAAATTGATTAATCATGCATTGAACTAGAGGGAAGGAAATCGAAAGAATCACATCAAAGATAAAAAAAGGTAGACTAGACTGAAAGAAGATTTCTGAGTTAGACAAAAACATTCTGGGGGGTGAGAGGAAAAAACGAGCTAGCAAGAGAATGCCAGGTAAAACGAACAAGTGGAAGATAATACGGTTGCAGAAAAATACACAGAAGCCTATGGAAAGAGTTATAAAAACACCTCTGACTGCCAAAACTCTTGAAAAGTAAAATAATAAATAAATAAATAAATAAAAATATCAGAAAAAAACAGATAGACGACATAAAGGTGCAGATGAGAAAGAAAAAGAGGAAGTACATGGAAGAAACAAAGAGGTTTCACAGTCTCCCTTTCAGGAATTTTGCCATAGGAATCAAGAAGGACAGACAATACTTCATGCTCTTCTATTTCAAAATAAAAGGTACTCGAAAGAATAGATACTGCCTTCTCATGCAGCATCTTTCTCTCTGTTTTCTACTTTTGTTGCGAGTCAGATCCAGCCCAGTTTCCTGTTAGTCTTTGTGCCCAGAGCCTTAAAAGCAGTAACATCACCACTTCCAAACATGCATGACTTGTTAGAGAGCAAAAACCTCCCTGAACCCCCAGAAGCAGAGCAGACATTTGACAAATATCTTCAAGCTTTTGGGGGACATCTATTTAGACAAACAGAGGCTAGGGAGTTAGTATAGTTTAACAGTGCACATTTATGTGATGCTTAATATGATCACCAGCACAGTTTGCATGTTTCATGTCATAGAAACACCTTGAGCTTGATGAGGGATGTTCATATTGGAAATAGCATGTGCCCCATATTGAGATTCAGGATTGTGTAAAATAATACAACTGTGCACTTATGCATGCTTTACTTTAAACAGAGAAAAATAAAGATGTGCAAATTAATAAGTTGTGATTACCTCAGAGCAGCAGTTTTCCCATTTCTGTGAGTACATGTGACCTGCCTGGTTTGGTACCCAATTTGTATGTCCCAATATTTGTTCTCCTGTCTATTCTGTCTGTTTCGATTCCTCTTCTTCTTAATTAACTCACGAGCCTCGGGATCCCGAACTGCCTTTTCTCTGTCCTTTTCCTTGTCTTTGTTCTTCCCTCGTTTCCTCGCTTGCCTTACTTGTCTTGAATGGGGCACTGAGCATGCGCTCCAGGGTCCCACGTTTAGGCTATACAGGCTTTCTTCAGCAGCACATGGGCTAGACTGACAGATCTGAAACTCGGTGAGGTTAGGACAAGCAGACCCACCGAACTGCGGTGGAGCCACAACGTGCCGAGTTCGATGCTGAAGCCCGTTGCCACAGGTCTTGGAGCACTCTGACCAGGGGGCGAATTCGGCCACAATGCAGTCCTGCCGGCACGGGATGAGGCACGCCTGCTCCTGGCGGGGCTTCGGCTCAAAGTACTCGCAGATGACATCCTCAGCTGGCACCCCGTTGGACTTCTGGATACAGGTGATGTCCCTTGTCTGGATCCCTTCCTCCCCTCTGAGGCACTCCAGGGGCTTCTCGTGGCTCCGGGAGAGGACGGGCTGGCACTGGTTCCAGCTGCCAATCTGCCAGTCGTACAGCTCCTTGTGCCAGTCGCAGACCCGAAAACAGCTCTGCTGGTTGTCTGGCCGCTCCGGCTGCTTGCAGTTCGTGGGCAGAGTGGTCCAGCCCTCCACGTGGGCACACCACACCGCTCGCGTCTGGATGCCACCTGGACCGCATTCATCTCCCATGCATCTCCCCCACGGACCTGGAAAACAAGAGAAGATGCTAACATTGCACACTTAATTGTTTTTCTGCCATGGTGCAAAACCAAGCTCACAGAACCAGTTTTGCATTTCCTGTATCTCTAAGAATTTCATTCTTGGAGAAACTCAAACTTGGAAAACACAAAACAAGCATGGGATTATTCTTCATCTCCTATTTTTATCATTACAGATACATTTCACTTTTTATCCTAGACAAATTGAATATTTAATTTCAAGAACGTACACAGGAATTAATCACATTAGAGAACCAAGAACTGAGCAATCAGAAAGTCATCACGTAGTTTTGACTAGCAGGATAGGAGCCAAAAAGTCCTTCGCTCCAAGGCATGAATCTAATCTTCTCTCTCACCTGCATGAATACCCTTTCCTGGACTGTTTTGGTTTTTGCTTCGCATTTCCACTGCACTACTCTTTATACCCTGATGCCAATTAATATCACATTCTCTTCCTTCCATACTGTGTTAAATAATGAGAACAACAACATAATACATTTTGAAAAATAGAGGTAATGTCAGGTAGGCCACTTCTATTTTTTCTTTTATTATAACTAAAATAAAAATTAAAAGCCAGTTAAGTAGTGTTTGTTCCACACAATTTGTGAAATGATTATACAGAATAAGTTCTTGAAGACAGAGACATCCCAGCTGGTAACTCTCCAAAGAACAGAAGTTATTGCTTTTTTAAAGTCTCTAAGGTCTACGGTAAATACTCGACATGTTGTTATAATTGGTTGTCAGCAAAACCAATAAAAACCTATATCCTTGAAAGCTGATATGGTTGCTTTTTCCATTATTAAAAATTGTAATATTCACCCGGTTCAACTCACAAAATCCACAAGTCAGATGGTAAAAAACCTGTATTTTTCAAGTTTTTTAAGACCTCCCCTCATACACGCCATGCATTGACTTACTATGAAAGAGGAAAAGAACAAGCAGCTCAGAAAATAACTATAACCATTTCCCAAAGAAAAGATGCCTATCTGCAGACAGTTGGTCACACAGAAGACATTTTCTCTGACTGAGGAGTGCTCATGTTCCATGAAGAAATTGGGGCCAGGCCACGCAATCCTCATTCGAGTTACCCCAGTAAGAAGACTCTTTGCGTGAGTAAAGTTGTGGGAGATGCTAGGCTGAGCCTTTGTTATTTCCAAAGCAGGTTAACAGAATGATTCTGGTACTGCACAAGAGTACGTTAAATGAACTATGGCAGGTACAAATTATTTACAACACTTTCATATTGAATGACTAGAAGGAATATGAAGCCTCATATTATAACTAATTCCCATGAGCTTTAAAACTCTCATTGACTTAAACACAATTTTCATCTGTTCATCCAACATTAATTTCAATAGCAGTTTGGGAATGGGCTGATGATAGGCTATACACTTAGCCTCTGCTCCTCATTGCCTCTTTTTTAAGCGGACGCTGTGGCTGCACAGTTTGTTTGTAGTTCTAAAATCCTAAGCATTAATACTCAATAGCAATGCCATCTGGCAGAGGCTGATTCAGTCCACGGAAACTCCTCCGTATTTTTTGCAGATTAAGTTTGAATTAGGGTTTCCAAGATTTAGCTAGCTATCCAGAAAAATAAATGTATATTAAATACAAATACATTTCAGTTTCCATTCCAGTATGATTACCCTACTTTATCTCTAACCAGCCTTCTACAAATGACATAATCATTGTTGTACTTAATTTAAGTGTATTTACACTGAGATAAGAGATATCATTTCCCCGGAACGTGACTTTGAACACTTGCCAAATTTAAAAGAATGAAGACTGCAGAAAATCTCCAACTAAAGCACAGATACTAAAATAATCAAGATTGAAATAAAGCTAGATCGTTCATCTTGCAAACTACAAATTTCTGTCTTATCAGATCACTGCACCTTGTGTATACTATGTGTGTTCAGTGAAGAAATCCCTCTTTTTAAAGATCAGGTCTTTACTGTACTCCAGATGAAGAGTTTGCCCATTTAGGATTCTACCAAATTTCCAATCATCAATTATCCAAGAAATCACATTGTACCTAAAAATTGTGCTTGATATCTAAGTATCTTCAATCCAATTCATCGACATGTTTATAGTAATGCAAATGATAAAAATCTCAGCCTCAATGCACTAACTACTGCCTTTGGCAATGTAAATATGAAAAAAAAATCTGTGCATGAGTATGATAATTGGGCAAAAATAAGCTCTTTCATTAGATTACAAGAATGTTGTTTTTAGAACTGGATCCAAAATAACAATGAGGTGCACAGATAGGCTCATGTATTAAACTGCATTATTTTGCTTTTGCTGTGAAGTAGCATGCCATTTTATAAAAGCATTGCCAGTGAGTACCAACAAACCACATTCATGCGAACCTTTGAGCAAACTACTACTCAGCACCTCTAGGTTGATGTAGTTGTTGACACAGAGATATTAGTGAAGTATCTGACCCTCCCCCTTACCCACATTAAGTTGATTTTTAAGTTTAAATATAAAATAATCCATTTAGAGTACAAGGCTACACATACTCCAGAAGCTTAAATTTTCACTCTTCTGCACACTTCTTTACATGACTATGACAGGGCCCTAAAGCGAGCCACAGCTTCGGGGCAGAGATCTATTTAGGTTTTCTCCTTAGCGAGCTCCCTCAAAAGACTAAAGGGCTTCCACACTTGACGAAACCAAATTTCATTTGTGCAGAAACTTAAAACTTGTGGAGGGGTGAGGTGTTAAAGAAAGAAAGCTGAAAGCAAAAGAAAAAAAAAACAAAAAAATAAATTAGTTATACACAATTATTCCCCTGCCCGCTCAACCTCCTTGGTGACGCTGTGCTTCCCTCCCATACAGTGACTTTCTGAGTGGAAGCAAACTCTGTCCTGTGCTCTCCGGCCTCTAGAAATCCCTCCCCCTCTGTAGTCTCCTGGGCTCTAGAAATCCCCTTTCCCTGTAGTGGAGCCTACAATAATTCATTTCTAACTTAAGTGGCCCCAAACACATTGCAAGCATCAAGGCCAGACATGGTTCTCATTTGAAAATAATCACAGAAAAGCAGGAAAAGAAGTGTCTCTGAACAAAGTACAGGGGCTTTGCAACTTTGTCCAAAGAACAAGAAATGCATCCCAAAGTAGTCCTAATCCACTGTCATTTTTTTTCCTCATTGCCACAGATTGAAGAGAAAGCACCCAGCACATGCTTACAATATTTCTTTGCCTGCTGGTCAAGACATCACTGAAGATACATGATGAAAAAACAGTGAAGGCAGAGGCTTTGAATGATTCTCAGAAGTATGAGAAAGCCACATACAGATCACCTGCAAATATGCTTTTTATATTACGTTATATCATTATTATGGGCAGTACATTTACCACAACATTTGTAAACGTGAAATTTTGGGATAAAACTAATCTTGCAGAAACTAGTGTAGCACAGATATTCAACTCGGCAATGAAAGAGATCAGCAGAATGCAATGTAAAGAGTCTCTCCCACCACCATCGCTTAAAGGCTGCAGGAGGTGGAGGGTGGCTGCTCTTTCACAAATCCTCAGCTGATGTTAAACGCTAGTAACAACAACAGAAAGTCTTTAGGAAAGCTGTCGAGCCTAATCAAGGCCTCATATGATGTTTTAATTTGCTCTTTATGAATATTCTTTAGGTTTTCTCTTTCCCACTGAAGCAGTCTTCACGCAGACACTCTGCTCTCCCTGCTGTGCACTGATCCAGTTACACCGGGGCAACGGGACGTACGTGCGCTCAAACCATTTCGCACCGGGGAAAAAAAGCTGCTGCTGTGAATGCAAAGTGGTTTTTCTTAGGATTTTGTTTTAAACATATTTAGATGAACGAGTCATAGTTTACCTGTAGTGAGCTGTACTTGTCTCATGAAAATACCATCGTTTACCTGCTTTTTTTTTAATCAGCGTATTACAAATAGCAATTACAGAAATAAATAGGAAGCTTGCTTCTTTTTTGTTGGGAGTTGTCACTGAAGTCTTAGTGAGTTTAAAATGTCATTTGTAATTCTTTGTCTTCTAAAGAGATTACTGTAAAATACAATATTAAGATTCCCTCTAAGCTTCTGGAGCATTAACATTTATTTTTATTAGGGACCAGGAAAGTAAGTGAATTAGCCATTACTGCAAGTTTATTCTGAAATTTCAGGGAGTGATCACAATGGAGTCAAAAAATCAAGACAAAACCCCCACTAAAGCACTGATAGCTTTGCAGCTAACTGAGGACAAAGTAAGCTGTCGTAGTATTTAATATCTTATACATTAGTATTGTTTCAGGTATTAAAATTATCACTATTTGAAGAAGAAAAAACTTATTTTGAACTTTGACCCAGGGCAAATAAGGCTATGTAAAAATCCCTTGAGCTTTTCTCTGTATACAAATACAAAAAAAATAGACAAAACAAGCCCCCAAGTATCCCCAAAGATAAAACTCAAAACACGTCTTAAAACATCGAGCAAGACATTACTCCCGTTTTTAACAAATGAAGGTTGCACCACTGATTTCATCTGAATTTTGCTGTACTTTCAGTGATAACTGGGTTTGACCCATTTTGTGTGACTGGTTTGGTGTCCGTAAGTAGCATTAACAGTTTAATGCCAGAGAGAGACTCGGACTGCACAAGACAATGAGCAGCTTAGTTTTTAGTATTTTGAGAGGATTGTATTTAAAGAGACTATTGAGAGACTGATTAGCAGAAATCTACTTCTCCTAAATTCAGAAACAAGCTAACCTTTCCCAATATTGGAGACCTCAAATTTCTTTGTATTATGAGAAGGTTGTGATGAGGACCAAGAAGGTTAACTGGGTGATACAGGGCTGAGAGTCAGAAGGACACCAGTATTACAAGATACAGTTCAAGCCTAAGCAGTAAATCTGGAGAGAGGTCAAAAAGACACAGATCAAGAAGTCTTTGAAGGACTCAGGAGATGACAATGAACGCAAACTGCAGCTCCTGAGAGTGGAGCCAGTCAAGGAGCAGGATGAACGGCAGGCCACCGAGAATAAAACAGCCTCAGAGCTGCCACCAAAATCACTTGCAGATCCACTTGGCTGAATTAAAATACGATAAGCATGTCTATAACTTGGTACGGTATACCTGTATTACCTATATTTGCTTTACACAGTTATGGCAGCAAAGGAAAAACAGCTGCTGCCGCAACACAGCATTTTTATCACAGGCAGCAGCCAACTGCGAAAGTCTAAACAGGAAACCGAGTCTCACTGGTACAGACACGTTGCCTATTACACTGGGAAGAAGTAATACAGCAAAACGCCGTAATTCTAGATAAATTATTGATAGTTGTTTTTTTTTTTTAATATAGAATCTGAGATACTGCCAACGTGACTGGCTGGCCGCATTTGGAGAGACAGATTCTGTAATTTATACTACTGGGAGTGCCAAAACAACAGAAGATCACTGACAGACAAAGCCTTTATTTTTGCCTCTTTCCCAC